TGTCCTCAAACATGGTTTACTTGCTCCAAAAAATGTTGTTCGGTTCTAAAGAACCGAGAAAGTGAGTTAGGGTAAGCGAGGGGTTACTGGAAGAGAACAGGCAGGCACAACTATAATGGGCGGTGCGTGCGCCAAATGGGGTGGGGTCCAACTTGAAAAGCTGTAAACGATTTCGTAGCACTCCAGACACCGGAAAGTAGCGTATTAAGGTCAACGAGGGGTCGCCGGATAGGAAGAAGGCACAACTGCAGTGGGCGGAGCGTGCGCCAAGATGGGCGGAGCTAGAGTCAAAATTCGCGAATTCGTTCTAGAGTACTCCAGAGACCGGAAAAAGGAGCAGTGGCATGCAATTTATCGGTTATCGGATTAGGAGAAACACGTTCATTGTGGGCGGAATGTGCGCCGAGACGGGTGTAGCAAAATTCAGAAGCTGAGTCAGCTGCAGAGCAGCATAGGCACCGAGGAAAAGTGAATCAAGGCCTACCGGAAGTTAGCGGGCGGAATGCGGGGAAGTCCTCAGAATGAGCCATGCTTGTTACATAACTTCATACTCGGTACTCTCCAATATGAATAATATATCTTTCTACTTGTGGAGCAGCTTTCACACCCCGCGGAAAGGCGCGCGTCATCACGCGCGCCAAAGAAACGTGACTGGTTTTCCGTCGTTGTAAAATAACGATGTAGCTTTCCCATTCCAAGTGTTCTTTTATTACGGGTTTCATTAGACGAACATCGCTTTTGCAAGCGTCAAATCGATACCGATTATTCAAGTGCGAATTTTGAATGTTCATTTTCAAAAAAAATCTGTATAAGAAAATCCATTTTTTAAACGGTATTCTTCAAGTTCACAGTATTCGAGAACTGGCACTAATGCCTTCGGCCTGAAAATAAGGTAAAAGTTTGTGAGTTAGGCTGCCTTCACAAGTATTTTGCAGCAGCGTCCACCAGCGACTAGGGAAGTATAGATATCAGTCTAGCGAACGTCAACGTCCACCAGAAAAGAGGAGTAGAGAGTATGGGGAAGCAAGAGGGTAGCAGACAGCTGGATTAGGCGTCGTGAAATTGCGGCGTGTGCAACCGCACCGTACAACTACACTACACCGTACATTGAATTGCATAATTCTGTGCTTTAGCAGTTGTACGGTGCAGCTGCACACACTGCAATTTCACGACGCCCATTCTAGGTGTACGCTACCCTCCTGATGTCCCATAATCTCTACTCCTAGACACTGGTGAACGCTGGCGTTGCTAGACCGATACCTGTACTTCCCTTGTCCCTTGGGACATTGGTGGACGCTGGTGGACGCTGGCAACGACGACCAAGTGGTCCCCCCCAACTATGTTACCGTCATTTATTGGAAGCATCAGAAGAAAAGACTAGGTTACGAATGTTTTTGCTAATACATGGTTGTACGGAATCCACACTGTTATGAAGTGTCAGCCAAAGGCCAAAATGTTGAAAGCAGACCGCGCCACCGCCACGATGAAATTGGGATTTCTGAAACGGAAAATGAAATCAAATAGTTCACAGGTTATAGGCAAGATGGAAGGAAAGACGCTAATATAGGCGGAGGGAGCAGCCGTAAGAGTGCGTTCACAGTTTGCGTCAGCATTTTGAGCGTACGGCAGCGTTTTGGGTGGATCGATACAACACGTTCCTAGTCTCCGAAAACGCCAGTGTTGAATATATACCCTTACGTTCCTGGCCGCTGCATGATCAAAACGCTGACGCAAAGTATGAACGCAGTCTAACCAGCAGCGAGCCTTGTCGTCGCGCTCATTTAAGCCTGGGCCAGGAAAAGAAGACTCAACCTCTGTGAAATAAAGAGCTGGTAAGATTACTTGATTCACTGATCGCCCTACTCTTGAGGCCTGGCCCCCACAACTATATTAGTGTCAAAGGGATAGACAACTTTGAGTTAATGGAAATTGAG